AAGATTGGACACACTGTTAGTTGAACGTGCAAATTTTTTATAATAGAAAAAAAGATAGTCTTCTTTTACAAGAGAAATAGGATCCTCGGAAATTCAGTTTTCTGGATAATTGGATTTCCGTGGACAGACAAGGCTCGTTTGACAAGGTTTTCAAAGCAGTAATCACTAATGTTGAAGATTGAACACACTGTCAATTGAATGCGTAACAGTGTTTCAAGCGTACTTTCGATCCGTGCAAAATTCTTTACAAAAGGAATATTTTTTCCAACGAAATGGCTTGCACGTTCTTATCAAACACACTGTATCTAACCTTGTTTTGCTACAAATCTCTTTCTCCCTGCTATGCGGAATAGTGCACGAGTTTAAAACTATCAAAACGGTCAAAATGAATATTCTCGTTAGATCCTTTATAAATATAAAACAGTGTGGTTTTTGGAGAGTCGGATGATTCCTCGTCAAAATACACGTAGCAAATAAAAGCTTGCATAGAATTATAAAGATTCTCCGTTTCTTTAACTTTCTTTCTCTGGGATGGAAACTTCATGCTTTAGTTTTTTCGGTATTTAGTCTTTATATCCATTCAGGTAGTTTCTAGCGTTAAATCCGTTTCTCGTAATAGCATAGCGATACGATCCAATTTGAACGAACTCGTAAAGTCATCTACGACTCTCGCTCCTCGTTCTCCCACATCGTCGTCGACGAAACTTAAAAGAGACTCATCATCCACACGTGGCAATTGGTCTCGTACGAAGCGGAGCGATAATAAAATCGAATTAACGGAGAAAGCGGCGACGAAACGAGGCTGTGTCGCCCGACACAACAGGTCGCCGCTGCTTCTGTGTGTCCTGCGAAACGGGCAACTGGGTGTTCGCTCGGGGGAAACTTAGCTCGAGGAAACATGTCCGCCGGTTACGACACAGATCGTCTACAATGGTATACGGACCTGCTTTCAGGGAGTGGCCGGCATTCCGGATTGTAAAGATCAGCGGCGCTGCGATGAATGGAACGCAGCGTTGAGAACGATCCGGAAAATGGATGTCGCCAAGAGTGCTGCAACGGAGGAGTTCGTGACGGTGGTCAGCGTGGAGAGCCAGCCGCAACCGCCGGAGAATTTCGTCACGGTGTTGTCCATCGGCACCGGTAAGAAGAAAGAGGACGATGCTCCTCTGCCAGCGATCCCCGTTTCCGCGTCGACGAGAAGCCCGAGCAACGGTGTCGACGGCCCGCTCGAGGAGGAAGTCGAAGTGTACAGGCTACCGGGGGAACGACTGGGCTTTGGACTGAAGTTCGAAGGAGGCAACAAGACGTCTGAGAGAGTCAGGAGGCTGTTCGTTCAGAGCTGCGCGGAGCAAAGTCCGGCTAGCAGGGCGAAATGCTCGTGGGGCATTTTGGGAGAGGGTGACGAGGTAAGCGAATTGTCGAACTTCATTCGGTGACGTACACTTGCGTCACATCATAATCATAATTATATAATTATTCTATATAAAAATTATATGTAATATTATATAATATGATATAATGGTACTATACAAAGTATACGATATGTAGTAGCACAATGTCGGAATTATGTACTTAAAGTATCATAATTATATACCTGGTGTACCTATATATCTAGTATCATAATTATATAATGAAGTAAATTCAGTATAAAGCATATAGTATATATGTAGTATACCTATATACCTATATAGATTAGGTACATCAGGATATTAAGTATATGATATGTAGTACCATAATGTCATAATTATGTACTTAAAATATCATAATTATATATCTAAAGTATGTACCTGGTGTACCTGTATATCTAGTATCATAATTATATAATGAAATTCAGTATAAAGGATATAGTAGATATGTAGTACATATATACCTACTATATAGGTTAGGTACGCCATGATATTAAATATATGATATAAAGTATAAAGTATCATAATTATATATCTAAGGTATCATAACCTGGTGTACCTATATATCTAGTATCATAATTATATGATGAAATTTAGTATAAGGTATATAGTAGATATGTAGTGTGCCTATACACCTATATAAGTTAGGTTTACCATGATAATTATGATATCTAAGGTATACCTAAAGTATAATACCTGATATGTCTATATAGGCATATCATGATAATTATACTCAAGGTATTATAATTCTCTTGATATGCCTATCATGATAATTATGATACTTGAAGTATATCTAAATAT